TGATCTTCATAAGTAAATGTTTCAAGTCCTCTTCACTTTCAGCAAGCAAGGTTGTATCATCTGCAGATCGCAGGTTGTTAATGAGTCTTCCTCCAATCCTGATGCCACGTTTTTCTAAATAGAACCCAGCTTCTCAGATGATTTGCTCAGCACACTGGTTGAATAAGTTTGGTGAAAGAATACCACGTTGTCGCATTCTGTGTTCCCATGTTTTGTTCAAGCAACTGCCTGTTTGTCCAAGTACAGATTCGGTAATTTGAGCAGCTTTTGCTGTGCGTTGTTAGTTGGTTGTTAGGTGCAGTCGAGTCGGTTCTGACTAGTGACCTTAGGCACAACAAAACGAAATACTGCCCAGTCCTGTGCCAGCCTCCTAATGGTTGTTATGTTTGGACCCATGGTGCTCCACTGTGCCCCACCTGTTGTTGTTATTAAGTGTGGTTTAGTTGATTTCAGTCATAGCGACCCTGCATAGGGTGGTTCAAACTGACTTTGTGGGGCAGGGCTTTACCCCCCAGTGCCACACCAGGACTCCCTGTACTACCTGAGAGGCTCTAAAGAGAAACTTCGTGCCCTCTGATGTTTTTCTGTCATGTTCCTGTGAGTCTGCATTGGTAGATCAAGTAATAGGTGAGCGTGTTGTCAGCACTGGCCTATGTTGTGAATATCAGAAGTGGGTGAAATTCACTAGGTAGAGGGACTGTGCTGATGTACAACTACCGTATTTACTTTGCTCATAGCACGTCTAGACTGTCATAGCACAGGGCTAGAAACTGCGTTAATTTAAACGGGTGCAACGAGAAGTCATACAGCCAGAATACTCAGCATGAAGGTCAGCATGATGAGAGAGAGAGAGGGAGATTTCAGGCCCCCAGACAACGGCGTGCTTTACAAGGGTGTGTCTGACAAGGAGAGAGTCACACGTGAAATTTCCAATAGTATGTGGCTATGACTTCGAGCTGTTTCCCATCCTGAATCTGCTGTCTGTATTCTCAAACAATAATTGAAAGCCTTTTAAAGAAATTTAACAAATGAAATGTCATGGTCTACCTATAGAATGAATGGTCTTTTGGGGGAGCAATGTTGTTGTATATATCTGATATGCAACGAGACAATGTTGTCTACAGTTTTCTTGAGAAATTACACGGATCAATACTTGTGTAAGAAATTACTTCTTCTCATGGTCGATGAATCTAACAAAAATTGGGATCCAAAGCAGTTAAGTAACAGATAATCTTTGGATACTAGGACCTCCTAGTCTGTTCATACTGCTATTGAAATTAGGAGGTCATTTTGGAGTCTTGACATTTTCACCTCTACCTCCCAGTGTGTTTGTTCTTGTATCATTTCTTTGGAGAGTCACCCGTATTTCCCTTTTTGTCCTTGTAGCTGCAAACCCGAGAGGCTTGCCAGGAGCCATCTTTGCTTCTCACGGTGGTTGGGCCTGTTTTAGACATCCTGGCTTTGCTGCTGCGGCAGGGGGAGGAGGTCATTCACAACCCTCACCATGTCAGCTTGGCCTTCGGCATTCTTCTGACAGTGCCCGTGGATCATCTGAAGCCTTCGGAGTATGGCAGCATCTTCCCAAGGATTCACAACGTGCTCTTTTCAATTCTGCAGTGTCACCCTAAGGTGAGGTGTAAAGGGGGAGCAGTGCGCCAGGCAGCATTTTCTTTTTAAGAGTACGATCTCAGCCTGCAGAAAAGCAGCAGTCACACTTTACTGGTACAGTGATTGCTATAGCAAACTTTTTGGTTCTAGTAATTTCTAGAACCAGAGTGGTTTTCTCAAGCACATAAATGAATGCATGATGTTCACACTTAGCTGTTCGAGTGAATTTATCTTTCTTAGAGCCAATACTTTGAACAGTGTTTGTGTATTAGCTGTTTAAGACATTCCCTAGAAATGAATCTGTTTTTGAGTCCTGGTGTGATGCTGTGGGTTAATGTGCTAGACTGCAAGGTTGGCGATTCAAGCTCACCCGCCACTCCTTAGAAACCCTATACAGGGTCGCTATGGGTCGGAACTGACTCAACAGCACTTAACAACAACAACAACATAGGTATTTAAGTGAATAACTTACTTGTGCTCAGATTTGCTCTTAGTGTAATTCTAATGTGTGTAAGGAGTGAGTAGGAAGACACCCTGGATTCCTAATTTTTTAGTATTTTGCCTTTGAAGTAAAACTCAGATTAGTAACAAGTGTTCCAACTGAAAGATATTCAGCTACCATTTATTGAGCATTTGCTTTGACTTTCATTCTACATTTAACATCAAGTCTGTGAAGTAGATGGTAACTTATTCTACTGAGAAAGAAACTCAGGCTCAGGGAGAGTAAATGATTTGACCAATTTCACCGAGGTGCATCTGACCCTTAGACTTAAAGAACTGTCTGACTTTGCTGACCATTGTTCCTTTTCATTGACCACTTGTATAGAAGTGACTGAGAGTGGAGACTCATCAGTCTTCCCATATGTCTCTGTGCACAGTCGCGGTTCAGTGTTTGAATGTTGGAAGGCTAGAGAGCTCCCAGGGATGCAGTTTTTAAAAACTGTTCTCTTGTAAGTTAAGTGCTTATAAACTGGGACCTTGCTCTAGTGCTTTCCTGTTGGGTCCTGCTCATTTTGTCAGCATCTTCATTATTAAATGTCTCTGCTGAATGGTAGATTTGAATGTGACCATACAACATATGGTGTCCTGGTGTGGCACTGCAGGATAAGCACTGGACCACAAAGTCGTTTTGAATCGCAACGTTAGTGGTTCAAACTCACCAGCCGCTCCTCGGAAACGACATACAGTATTGCTGTGAGTTGGAACGGACTCAACGGCACTTGACAATAATAATAACAATATAAAATTTCAATGTGATATAAATCAGTTGCAAACTGAAATTGCAGATCTTGCAGAAGATGTTGGGTTTCATTACGTTGATGAAAGAAAATATTAGAAAGTGCTCAGATTGTTTGCAAAAACCATTAACAAGTGACCATTCAGTGGGATTAGACTGTTTGCTGAGAGGATTAGATACAATTGACGAGAATACTGACATTTTTCGATGACAGTTCAAAAGAAGAATATGCTTATAAAAGGGGCTCTGGTAGTCTAGTGGGTTATGAGTTGGGCTGCTGACCACAAGGTCAGCGGTTCAAATCTGCCAGCCACGATGTGCGAGAAAGATGAGGCTTTGTGCTCTTTTATAAAGATTTACAGCCTCAGAAATCCGCTACAGTATTGTTGTGAGTTGGAACTGACTCCATGGCACATCACCACCATCCCCACTTCTGTACTGTATGTGGAGTTGAATGAGAGAAAGAGGCATCTGTGCTAATACATGATTTTGATTCATTGATGGTCATAGCAGGTCTGGATTCATGTAAACAGGTTACAAACTGCATAAGGAAAGGGGAAAAGTATCGCAGGATGTCAGCCCAGGCAGGATATGCCGCATAAAGAGCAACAGCTGGCACTGTTCGAAGCACTTCACATGTCTTGCCTTGTTCACTCTTCTTGTCAACCTATTATTATTATCCCCATTTCCCTGAGTCATAAAGATTAGGTAATTTGCCCTCAGTCACTTAATGAGTCAGGATTTAAATCCAAGTCTTCTGGCCCCAGATTTCTATGCATGTAATTCTATCTAATGATGTTGTTAAATGCTGTTGAGTTGGTTCCAACTCAAAGCGACCCTGTATAGGGTTTCCAAGGAGCAGCTGGTGAGCTTGAACCGCTGACCTTGTGGTTCAAACTGGCCTGGAAGTCTTGCACATCAACCCACTTCGCCACACCAGGACTCCAACCAATATGCTAGCAAAGGATTAAGAACAGTCCTTGAGACATTTGATGAAGCTTTGGAATTTGCTTGTGAAAAAGACTTCTTTCTGAACAGGCGGCAAAAGTCCAGTTTGGCATAAAAGATACAGTATTGTGTTACCAAGAAATTTGGTTGGATACATTGTACCATGGAAAATCATTGCAACCCTTGATTTACTACTCTCTGTTCTTTCTAAGAATTTGAGCAGAAATTTTCACTGTAGTGTACTTGTTTATCTGTGCCATCCAGTTTGATAGCTGCTTGTATCTTCTTAAATGTGACTAGTGCAATTAAGGAAATTACTAATTCTATCTCATTTTGATTTCATCTAATTTTAATGTAAGTGTCTGCTGCATCAGACAGTGTAGAACATGAATAGTTGTAACCTTGACTTATGATGGGTTGAATATAAAAGAGGCATGTCTTAAATCTTTCTGTCACTATTTACTGAAAAGTTCTGTCCCCATTTTAGGTAGATATGCTTTTTTTCCTAGTACAATATACTTGAGTAATTAATTAGTTGTATTATTTTATTATATATTTACACCTAATTCCCAGAATGATTAGAAACCAATTTTAAACAGTTTGCAGATTCTAACCCCAGATTGCCTCCTTCCATTAGCTTCCTGAAGCTATGCTTCTACCTGGAAGTTTTCAGATAACAAAAGTAGATGAGTAATTCCTCCAGAAGTTTTAGGAAGAAAGCAAGTTGCTACAGTTGGGCACTCAGAAGACAGAAAATCGAAAGCATTTGAATGTGTAGTTATTTAGATATTTTTGTTTTCTTTTATCTATTATAACAGGTAATGCTGAAATCCATCCCTTCATTCTTGAACTCCTTTAATCGATTGGTATTTTCAGTTATGCATGAAGGGCGTCAGAAAGAAAAAGGTAATTCAAAGTAACAATATCAGATACACTATTGCAGTTGTCCATATTATGGAATGAACTGTTGCTAAAATGAATACTTTTCAGTTGAGTCTGAATAAGAGAAATGCTCCAATTACTCAGAGTAATTTTAAATTATAAACTGTCAAATTTCACTGTATCTAAAACAATGAAATCATCTGTAATGGCTTAATTGATAATAGTTGTTTTTCCAGAAAAAGTATATCTAAGTTCTCTGTTTTAAGGAATAGCTACGTGACTATAGCCCACTCTTGCCCTCTGGGAGTTTTTAGTGTAGTGAGAAGATCTGCAAAGAACAGAGGATTGTAGAGTGATGTCATTTTATGGCAGGGAGGGTGCCTGGAGCCTGACTTTGACTGGGCCTTTTGTTTATCAGTGAAGAAAACACTGTCATAGAGCAATAGCTCTATGTTATGACTTATGTTTACAAGTCCATTATCCGCTCTGAAGTGCTTGGAGTCTTGGTTAATATTTAATTTGGGGGAGATTTTTGCTTTTAAAAGCGTTGCACATCAAGTGAGACTTCCAGTGCTTATCCTACAGTGCCACACCAGGAGCCCGTGGTCATGGGTAGGAAGACTTAGCAGTGTGAAAATGTCAATCCTACTACACAAAGTAATTTACAGATATCAAGCAGTCCTGGTCCAGAGTCCATCATGCTTTCGAGAGATGGAAAAACGCATCACTGTGTGTCGAAGGGAAAGAGCAAAACTGGATATCCATTTGCCAAAAAGTGAAACCTGATATAATTCCTCACCATCTACCATTACCAGCTGCTTTTAAAGGGATCATATTAGAAGGTCCTAGAACCAAACTCACTGTTGTGAATTAACTTTCAGCTAAGCGATACAGGGTCCTATTAGGTGAACAATGACACCTGGGAGGTATGCACTCCCTAGAAAACCAACTATACAAGATCCAAAGGGCAGCATTTGACCAGGAATAAGACGCATAAGGCAGGAAAAGATCCAAAAGGATGGCAACAGAAATACAGGAAGGAAGTAGGAAGAGTGCTGTTACAGTGTGGGGTCACTATCAGTGTCACCAAACAAAGTGCTGTCTGTTATTGAATGGAAAACCAACTCACTCTGTCAACTCACCCAAATCACAGTGAAAAAAAAGAATTAGTGAATATTAAAAGCTGTCACTAAAGAATACTAACTATTGATTCCAGTGAGAATGTTGACAACAATATATATATCCATAAAATTAAATTGACCTAGGAAAAAAAATCATACAGTACAAATAATATATATATGGAACTCTGGTAGCATAGTGGTTATGAATCGGGCTGTGAACTGCAAGGTCAGCAGTTCGAAACTACCAGCTGTTCTGCGGGAGAAAGATGAGTCGTTCTGCTCCCGTAAAGATTTACAGCCTCAGAAACCCTGTATAGGGTCGATGAGTCGGAACTGACTCCACAGCATACAGCCACTATATATATATATAGTTGTGAAGTGCCATCGAGTCAGTTCCGACCCATAGTGACCCCGTGTAGGGTTTCCAAGGAGCGGCTGGTGAGCTTGAGCCGCCAACCTTGAGGTTCAAACTGACTTTGCAGTCCAGCGCATTAACCCATAGCGCCACTGCACAGTCTTCAAAAAGGCATTTCGCGTTTTAGAAATCAACTTCATTGATATGTCATTGAAGTATAACGAACTGTATGCATGTAAAGCCTACAATTTAATGAGTTTTGACAAGTACATTTGTGAAACTCCAACCACAATTAAAATAACGTCTCCATCGTTCTCCAAAGATTCCTCTTGCTTCTTTGCAGTCAATTCCCCAGCTCTAGGAAACCACAGGTCTGCTTTTTATCATTATAGATTAGTTTGCATTTTCTAGACTTAAAAAATCTGTCATTATGCTGAATAAAAGCTGGGAAGGCACGCCGATGCTTACTGGGGTTTTCTTACCTGTGTGTAATGACCTGGGACAGTGGGGTGTATTCTGAACTGTGGGAGTAATTTAGGCTTAGAACCTAGAAGGAACTGGGTAATTCTGCCATTTTAAGATCGGAAGAACTAGGAGTCAGAAATGGGAAGACAGGAGGGTATTGATTTAGTGTCCCAGTATGATAAGCACTGGACTGCTCACTACAAGGTCAGTGGTTCAAACCCACCAGTTGGTCATTGGAAACCTATACAGGATCTCTGTGAGTCAGAGCCAAGTCGATGGCATTCAACAATCTTACAGCCCATAAAAGAAAAATCTGATACAACTGATTTCTGGAACTCAGGCAAAGATTGAATGAGGGCATCTTAATTTTTTTAATCATACAATGTCAGTAAATATTTTTTCCTTCAAGATCATTTTTCATTTGAAACTTTACCTGTAAAGATCTGTCTCTTTTTAAATACAATCGCAGTCCCAGATTTCATCTTCAATCTTCTTGATTATCTATTCTTGTTAGACCCTTAAAAACTTCCACGGACTCTTGAGCATTTTAAGTATTCTTTCCTTTGTTATATATGTAGATGAATAACTGGGCATATCTTTTCTCTTGTTGTCTGTAAAATAGACCCACTAAAGAGTTTGGGAAAAATGGCAGGCCTCAGATAATTTTCATCTACGTTAAAAGTATACAGTAGGAAGACATAAAATGTATTGTGTTTGCACTGAATGCTTTTGCAATGCTTTGATGTTGGTAGGAAGCACAGATGATCTGACGGTGGTCCTAGAATGTGCACGCCTGGTCGAAAGGATGTACAGCCACATCGCAGCCAAAGCCGAAGACTTTACAGTGTTTTCCCCCTTCATGGTGTCCCAGTATGTGATGGAGGTGCACAAGGTAAACTCTGGGTTAAATGTCTCTCACCACGCACGTGTTTCCATCTGTAGTCCTTCATAACAGGGATTCACAACCTTAGCACTATGGACATTTAGAACTCAGCCATTCTTTGTTGTTGGGGGCTGTGCACTGTAGAACATTCAGCAGCTTCTCTGCAGGGCTGTTGTGAGCACTGTCTGAGACAGTATGCAGAGGGCTCAGCATTGTTGGCTGTGTCGAATGCGGAATCACTAGTTCTGTCTTCTTGCCGACACTTGCTGTGGTGAAGGTGAGATTGGTGGCTCTGTCCTGCTTAGTACAAGTTTTGTGTCCTTTTTTGCTTAGTCCCATGAGTAATAAGGGAGTTAAAACGTTACGTAGATCTAGGACCAGACTTATGGCGTCTAGAAACACCAATTCTAGATCTCAGAGTCCTGGATCCCTGTAGCAGCAGGCATTCCTGATTTATTCTCCTGAGTCTCTAATCCATGTGACTCAGCCCTTTTCTTTTATTCCTTCAACACAGCTGTACTGGGTAATTGTTTGGTGCCAGACATTGTTCTATATACCTGAGTTACAGCAGTGAAAAAAAGGTGGGCACAGCCGTTCCATTCATAGAGCTTACAAGCTAGTGGGAGAAACAAATATTAAGCAACTGTGTAATGTACTGTTGTTGTTTTGTGTTGGGAAAGAGAAAAATGGCAGGGACTGTTCTGGAAGTCAGGGAAGTAAGTCTCTGGAGGAAGAAGGTGATGCTGCTAGATCAGAACCTCAGTGCATGCCTGAGAGGAGATGCAGGCAGGTCAGTCAGTGCAGTGTGGGTGAGGGACCAGCTGGGGACAATAGAGCAGGGAGGACTGGAGGTTGCATCATCCATGGTCCCACGAGTCCCAATTCTAAGTGTGACAAGCAAGGGAGTGAATGGACTTATGCATGTCTTTATGTCATACCCCTGGCTTCCTTTCTTCAGCTCGTGCCTCCTCCTCCTCTTTTTCACTGATCCTAACTCATTCTGTCTTCTAATGGGTAAACCTCTCCTACACGCAGACCTCGCTTCCTTATGAGTTTCATTTGATTTTTACTTATGTTCTGGAGAGTCTGCTTTTCCTGGCCCATCTTTTGTGCCAGTTGGTCCATCATTAAATATTTTTAATTAACAGTTGTTGTTGTTAGGTGCCATCGAGTCAGTACTGACTCATAGCAACCCTGTGCATAACAGAACAAAACACTGCCTGGTCCTGGGACAACCTCACAATTGTTGCCACACTTGAGCCCTTTGATGCTGCCACTTTGCCAGTCCATCTCACAGGGGTCTTCCTCTTTTTCTCTGACCCTCTAACTTACCAAACACGATAACCTTCTCTAGCGACTGGTCCCTCCTGACAATATGTCCGAAGTATAAGAGATGAAGTTTGGTCATCCTGGCTTCCAAGGAGCACTCTGGCTGCACTTCTTCCAACACAGATCTGTTGGTTCTTTTGGCAGTCCATGGCACTTTCAATATTCTCCTCCAATACCATAAACTCAAATGCATCAAATCTCCTATGGTCTTCCTTATTCACTGTCCAGCTTTTGCATGCATATGAGGTTATTGAAAATACCATGGCTTGTGTCAGGCGCACCGTAGTCCTCAGCTGACATCTTTGCTCTTTAATACTTTAAAAAGGTAATTAACAGTACTGAATCTAATGCCCCAGACTGCAAAGCCCTTTGAACTGCAAGGCAGTGGTTCAAGCTCACCAGCTGCTCCTTGGAAACCCTATGCAGGGTCGCTATGGGTTGGAACGGTCTCAATGGCACTTAACAACAACAACAATCCTTTTGTAAACCCTGTGAATCCTAAAATAGACCAAGTTCATATTATAGCGGGAGGAGACGACATTCTGTGGGAAGACATCCGGGGTTGGTGACCCCTGCTTGTCAGGGTCTTGTCCTTCATCCAGGGATGGGGGGAGATCACCACGTGTACAGTGTGGTGACCTGTAGGCTTGAAAAACCGCATGCTGTACTCAGATACTCAAAGTCGATGACAAGAAGAAGACACAGGTGGATTTGTTCAGATGTTGCTGTTAAGTGCCGTGGAGTCGGTTCTGACTCAGTGAACCCTGCACAGGGTTTCCGAGGCTGCAAATCATTACAGGAGCAGAATGCCTCATCTTTCTGCCACAGAACAGCTGGTAGTTTCCAACTGCCGACCTTGAGGTTAGCATTCCAATTCATAACCACTATGCTACCAGAGCTCCTTTTGTTCAGATAGAGGAAGCAGAAATACCTTGTCTAAGTTAATGTTTTTGCTGTTAGGTGCCACCAAGTCAACACCAACTCATAGCAACCCTATGCACAATAGAACAAAACACTGCCCAGTCCCGGGCCAACCTCACAATTGTTGCCACACTTGAGCCAATCCCTCCTGTCACTGTGCCAATTCATCTTCCTCCGACCCTTCACTTTACCAAACATGATGTCCTTCTCCAGTAACTGGTCCCTCTTTATAATATGTTCGAAGTATGAGAGATGAAATCTGGCCATCCTAGTTTCCAAGGAACACTCTGGCTATATGTTTTTCAACACAGATCTGTTGGTTCTTTTGGCATTCCATGGTACTTTCAATATTCTCCTCCAGTACCATTACTCAAATGCATCAATTCTTCTATGGTCTTCCTTACTCACTGTCCAAATTTCACATGCATGTGAGTTTATTGAAAATATCATGACTTGGGTCAGGCGAACCTTAGTCCTCAAACTGACACTTTTGTTCTTCAACCTTTAACAAGGTCTTGTGCAGCAGATTTGCCCAATGCAATACTTCATTTGATTTCTTGACTGCTGCTTCCATGAGTGTTGATGATTGATCCCAGCAAAATGAAGTTTTTGACAACTTCGGTCTTTTCTCCATTTATATGAATGTTGTTTATTGGTCCAGTGGGGAGGAGTTTTGTTCCCTTTACATTGAGATGCAACCCATACCGAAGGCTGTGCACTTTGATCTTCATCAGTATTTTGAATCTTCTTCGCTTTCAGCAAGCAAGGTTGTATTATCTGAATATCACAGATTGTAATGAGTCTTCCTATATTTCCTGATGGTATTCTCTGCTTTTCAGTCAAGATCCATCTGCCTTATTCCTCCTTCTATATTCTCATCTGAACCCAGCTTGAACCTCTGGAAGTTCTCTGTCAATGTATTGTTAGAGCCGTTTTTGTATTATCTTTAAACTTGCATGGGTTATCAGTATTGTATGATGATTTCTGAATTCCGTTGGGTCACCTCTCTTTGGATTGGGTACAAATATGGATCTCTTCCAGTCGGTTGACCAATTAATTGTCTTCCAAATTTCTTGGCAAGATGAGTGTACATGTCCAGCACTGCATCAGTTTATTGAAAGATTTCAATTTGTATTCCATCTGCTTCCAGTGCCTTGTCCTTTGCCAATTCCTTCAATGCAGCTTGGACGTCTTTCTTCAGGATCATTGGCTCTTGATCATATGCTACCTCTTGAAACAGTTGGGCATCGACCATTTCTTTTTGGTACAGTGACTCTGTGTATTCTTTCCATCTTCTTTTGATACCTTCTGCAGCATTCAATATTTTGTGCATAGAATGCTTCAATACTGCAAGTAGAGGCTTTAATTTTTTCTTCACTTCCCTCATCTTGAGGAATGCTGAGCATGCCCTTCCCATTTTCCCATTTGGTTTTCTTACTCCAGGTCTTTGCACATTTTGTTATAATATTTGACTTTGTCTCTCAAGCTGCCTTTTGAAATATTAAACTCTTGGACCTCCTCACTTCTTCCATTTGTTTTAGCATTCCTATGATGGAGAGCAAGTTTTGGAGTCTTTTCTGTCATCCATTTTGGTCTTTGCCTTCTTTCTTGTCTTCTGAATGACCTTTTGCTTTTTCCCTGTATGATATTTTAGATGTCTTCCCACAACTTTTCTGATCCTAAGACTTTTTTTTCTTTTCGGTCTTCAGTCTTCAGTGTCTAATGCATCAAATCTATTCTTCAGATGATCTCTAAATTCAGGTAGAATATACTCAAGGTCATATTTTGGCTTCTTGTGGACTTGATTTAATTTCCTTTAGTTTCAGCCTGAATTTGCATATGAGCAATTGATGGTCTGTTCCACAGTCTACCCCTGGCCTTGTTTTGGTTGATGACAGAGTTTCCACCTCCCTGTCTCTTTCCACAGATGTAGTCAATTTGATTTCTGTGTTTTCCGTCTGGTGAGGTCCACGTTTTCAGTCATCATTTGTTTTTAAGGTTTTTATTGTGGAATGAGTGAAAGTTTACAGGGCAGATCATCAGTTTTAAATTCAAAAAATCATATACCTTGTTTCATTACAATGATTATAATCCGCTCCATGTACCATCAGCTAACAGTAGTTCTCTCTATCCACTTTAGCTTTTTTAAAAAAACAACAACAACAAAAAACCACTCAGGCATATGTAATAATTTATATCTCCAAAGGGCACATTCTGCAAGTCTGCTCCTGGCCACCAGTTCTTAGTCCCTCCCTTCTTAGTCCATGAATCTAGAGTCCTCAGCCGCTCCCCCTCTCCATGCCCCCATCTCTGCCTCCATCTCTGGCGCTGCTGCTTCTCTGGA